ATTTATTTCTTGACTCATTCTGTAGTACTTTACTTTATTGGCATTTTCTCTTTAAAACTCTCCTATGACTTCCTTTTCTTTTTAAATTGGTTACAGTTGCTTCCTTACTTTTTTCCCCTCTACCTAAACTATCATTATTTTCTAGGACTCTGACTTTGACCGTTCTTCTTTCTCTGTATGTTTCCTCAGGTGTTCTTATCCATTTGCAAGGTTCAAAATACTGCTTGCATGTTGATGACGCTCCTTCTCTCTCTGGCTGAAACCACTCCACTGAGCTCTAGACCTGTATACCCAAATTCACATTAGTCGTTGCTACTTGGCTGAAGGTTCCTCAGGCTCATATTCCTAGTACTGAATGTGTTATCTTCTGCCTCAAATCTGTTTTTCCTTCTGTTTTCTCTACTTTAGTTAGTGGCATCACCATCTGTCCAAGACATCTTTCTGTAGCCTTTCTAGATATCACTTGTCCCTTCGAATGTCACATACAAGTTCTGTCAGTTGTCTTGCCTAAGTAGTACTTAAGTTTCTTTCTTCTGCTCTGTCCCATCCTACTATTTTATTTTTGGTCTTAATTATCTTTCATACATCCCTGCCTCTGTTTTCTTCCTGTAATTTATTCTTTAGTTTTAGCAAAGTACTCATTAGTTATCATAATTAGTTCCTGCTTAATTCTTCATACTCATTTCCAACCAGTAATTCTTTTGCACATTACAGTTCAGTCATACTGAGCCATTTGTACTTACTCAAATGTGCCATGTTTTTATTTTTATATGCTTTTATTTTGCTGCCTGAAACATCCTTTCTTCTGTTCATATATCATTTATAACCTTTTGGACATATTTATTCGAAAAGGCCTTTACTAATTTCCATAGCCATGAATGTTATAGCAATGACTACTTTGAAGCTGTATACCTGTTTCTTTACCATTGAGCAACATATTATACAACAATTATTGGTTTACTTGCTAGTTTTCCTTACAAAGCTGTGTGTTCTAAAAGTCAGGGATCTCATGTTATTCATCTCACTATATCTAGAACTGTGTTGAATGACTGTTGAATTTGATGCTTTGATTTTTGTTTTAAATTCTTTTGGAAAAGTAGACTAAAATTTGAAAATGTTGGGCTTTTTCAGGTTTTTGCATGTGAATTAGTGTGGATTCATGGTTGATAGTGATGCTATGATGGTTGATACTTTTTGTTTATAAATACCTGTTGTTTTCCAAATAATAGACAATTTCACCCCAGTTTCCTGTCCTTTTTAATATTGAGCTTTAATAGCAATTCACTTTTCTTTGTGTTTTACATTAATTCATCTACATTTACTCTACCAGGCTTAGGAGTAGCATAGTCTTAGTTTCAATATTCAATAGTTCATTTTTATGTAAACATTGGCTAGTCTTAGAAGAAGGAAAAATTTAAGTTAGGAAGAATCGACTCAATAACGATAGTTAGGAAAGCAATGTTGACAGTTCTTATGTTAACATTTTCTGTGTTGCTTATTTTTGCTTTGCTTGAATGCCTTTCATAACCCCATATGTTTGTATACATATATGAATGTTAGTATCTTATGTACATTGTAGGATATAAGAAAAGTGGAAGTACCACTAAATATTCAGCATTAATCATTTTGGTTAAAAATCAGATTTTTAAAATAATAGCACAACTTTATGTCGTCAGATTGAGTTAAGAGAACGAGAAATAGAACGTCTGTCAATTGCATTGGATGGTGGTCGCTCTTCTGACATTCTTTCTCTGGAGACTAGAAATAAAAGCAATGAAAAACTTATTGCTCACTTAAATATTCAGGTAACTACTCCTATAATTATTTCACTGACTGTATAAAATCAGTAAGTATTTATAATGATCCATGGATTTGTAAAAGTGACAGTGTTGGTCATTGAAGTATTATTTAGAATGGGAAAAATTTATAGAACCAAACTATCCAAAAGTAGGGTGTAGGTATTAAAAAATTATTTTTAAAAACATCTAATGAGGCAGAAAAATGTACACTATACTATTAAATATTTAAAAGAAAACAGTCAAGTATGGGTAAAGAGTAATTTTCAGTTTCCTTTCTAAAAAAGTACATATAAATTTGGAGAAAGAAAACACGAGACTACACCATTGCAACAACAAAGTTTTTGTAATAAGTCATTCCTTTTTATGATTTTCTCTACTTTCAAACATTTTAAAACTATGCATATAAAAATTATAATATGAAAAAGATGATTGGAAGAAATATGAAAACTTATGCTTGTCATTTTAATCTACCTATGTAATGGATTCCCTTTCCACTCACTTGACAATATCCTAAGCATTATACCCGATCTTTAGAAGTTTAGATGTATTGGTGCTGTCTTGGCCGCAACCAGAATAGAGTATGTCACACATAGCAGCATAGGCTCTAGCGTTGTACTGTGGAAATATGATAAAAGCCACATATGTAATTTAAAATTTGCTTATAGCCAGAAACTTAGTTTTAATATCATATTTACTACAGTATATCCAAAATTATATTTCAGCACATCTTTAAGTGTTATAAATTATCATGGAGATATTTTATATTGCTCTAATTTTGTATTTTACCAAGTGTTTGGAATCCTGTGTGTATTTTACATTTATTGCACATGTCAGTTTGGATTTGCCACCTTTCAAGTGCTCATTCACCAGATGTGGACTGATAGTGCAGCCTGGGGACAGTCTCCATATTGTCATCATGGAGATACTTACTGTTGTCATATTTGTAGAATTCTCTTGAGATCAATGTCACCTAAACTTAGCAATTCATTTCATGCTTAAAAGTCAACGCTTGTGGATATCCACTTTTATTAAACTACACATTATCAGTTTTACAAATCAAAACAGTTTTTGCAAATGTAAAATAGCTATGCTTTTAGTTTCAAGTATTTTTTAAATATGATATTTTGAAAGTTTGGTATTTAGGATAAATTTTCAATTCATATATATTATGTATTATAAATTCAATATAGGTTGACTTTCTTCAGCAAGCTAATAAAGATTTGGAGAAACATATACAAGAGCTTATGGAAACCAAGGAAACAGTGACTACTGAAGTTGTTAACTTAAGTAACAAAAATGAAAAACTTTGCCAAGAATTAACTGAAATAGACCAGTTAGCTCAGCAGTTGGAAAGACATAAAGAAGAAGTGCTTGAGACTGCTGATAAGGAACTTGGGGAAGCAAAGGTAAGTCTGGGTTGCAGGAGTATTTGTTGAGTCTTCTAGAGTGGAGTGAGCGTCAGCCCTCTTGATTTATCTGTATGTAGGTCTTGTGCTTTGTCTGTCTGTTTTGTAATTCTAGGCTTTCTAAAGTAAGTTTATATCTTCTAAATAAATGCTTGTGCTTGCTGTAGGTGCTTTATGTTTTTCTGAGGCACACCGTTTTTAGAATAACTCAGAACCTATTTATTTTTCTTCAATCTCTGCATTGTGCAAGTTTTGGAAGCTTGTCCTCTGTGTTATTTTGTATCTACCTTTAAAGGTACTTCTCTAAACTATGTACATCCTTGTGCATTTTAAATTGGTAGCTAAATTTTATAGCGTCTTTGCTTAAATAGATGTAAGTGATGTAAATTCTACTTTGTTGTAAATACTACTGATTTCTTAAAATAGAACTATCACATGGTTCTTCTAAATATAGCCAGTGGAATTCAAATGTTCCTTTCTCCTTGCAATCATTACAAAATTTTAGACTGTTTTTAACATTTTATGCTTGAATATCTTTTATGAGCATTCAACCAAACATTTGCAATAAAAAGATACTTGAATTGAAATTTTTTGTTTTAAAAAAGTCCTGTGACTATAATGTTCAAAGTGTTAACATTTTCTCTGAATAGTGTTACTGTTAAATAGTAATCAGTGGATCAAAATGACAAATATACAACAAATGTTAATAAAGATTTGATAAATAAAAAAAAATTATTGGAAACATACCTCTTTATGAGACAATGGGAGAAAACACAATTTAAGACTTCAGAGAGCACTGAACATATCAGATTATTTTTGTCTGATGCCTCGAAAGTCTTTTGTCTTAAGATAAAATGCAACTGAAATATAAGCCTTTGTTTTGAAAGGTGGGATAAAGGCATTTGTGAAAGAGGAAGTAGGGAAGGGGCACTCACATGATACCTAAACCATAAGATTCAGGTAGATACTTTTTTTTTTTAAGATTTTATTTATTTTTGCATACAAGAACTGGGGTACAGACCAGAGGTACTGGGGGTGAGAGAATTCACCAGAGACAGAGTGAGGAACAGAACAGGTAGATTGACAGAATTACAATGCTGAAGGGTGTAGCAGGCGGGACGGAGAGATCTCCCATGCCATGTGGGTCACCTTCCTGGAGAAGATTGAACTCATGTTGCAGTGGTTGTGGACAGTTCGTTAGTGCTGCACTTTAACCTGTTGTACCACCCTAGGTCGATATTTTTTTAAATTAATAACTTTTTTAAATTGAGGTAACATTATGGATGCCCCCTACCAGGATCACCTCTAGGTAGATAATGTTTAAGAAAGAACATATATGCAAAATTAAGAATTTAGTGATTGATTCCTTAAAGCTATGGTTTAACTTAATATTTGGAAAATCTTCATATTGTTCCAGGAGTTAGTATAAGCCTGGTAGTATAAGTGATACCATTTTACATCACTGAATTAATTGTATGCATGTCACCTCCACTAAATTAGTACGTAAAAGGAAACTACCTGAACATTAAAGTGATATATGAAAAGCTCATTGATAACATCACGCTCCGTAATGAAAGGCTGAAAACTTTCCCTGTAAGATTAAGAACAAAACTGTTGAACACAGTACTGGAAGCCTGACTGAAACAGGAAAGAAAAGGCATGTACATTGCAAAAAAGGAAGTAAAATTGTTCTCTGATGACATGATCTTATTTGAGAATTCCTAAAGATTTCCTGTCAAAAAACCTAAAAATTAATAAATGCTACCATTAAAAAATTTCTATTAAATAATTTTTTTTTAGTCTTCTGAGTTAGGCAGAAAAACAGACAACCTGATAGAACCTGTGGACAAATTTAGCAAAATTGTAGGATACAAAATTAACAAACACAAAATATCAGGTGTATTATATACTAATAATTAATAATCCAAAAAGGAAATTAAGATAATAATCTCATTTACATTAGCATCAAAAAGAATAAAATGCTTAGCAATAAACTTAACCAAGGAGGCAAAAGACTTGAACACTGAAAACTATAAAACATTACTGTAAGAATGTTTCAAAGAAGACCAATAGTAGAAAGACACCCTGTGTTTGTAGATTGGAAGATCTAATATTATTCAACTGTGCACACTAGCCAAAGCATTCCACAGGTTGTATGTAATCCCTACCTAAATCTCAATGCCAATCTGGGGTAGAAATTTAAAAATGTCTTAAAATTTCTGTACAATTTAAAGGGGTCTCAAATAGCCAGAACACTCTCAAGAACAAAGAACATGTTTTTGTGGCTTTAGTTCCACTGCAGCATTGCTGTCTCTCATCATTCTCCCTTTACCTCCTTTTACCACTTTTATGCTCCTGTGCCAGTGAGTCACATACCATGCTGAATATGGCTTTTCCTGTGCCCATGAGTCACAGCGTGGCTCAGCCAGAGTCTTGGCCTTCAACATTTTCAGTTGCAGTATAGAGGATACAGCTTGGTAGTAGCACGTGAGAGAAAAGCAAGTAAGATAGGAAAATCAGGAAATGACAGTGCCATACAATGAATCCTAAAAAAATCAAGGCTCAAGAAATATCCTACAAGGAAACAGGCAAAAGATTTTCAGGTTGCCTTCATGTTTCAGGTGCTGCAAACAGGTATTCAGGATCCCAAGAAATTACCTCTTCATTGAAGTTGAGGCTTAGCACTTAAGCCTCAGATCTCACTGGTGAGATCTAGGGAGTCTGAACTACTCAACAATGACTGGTCTTTGTAATGTGACTTGGTGATATATTCTCAACTTCAGGCGTTATTATCTAATAGGTTTTCTATTTCTAGAAAGAGATTAAAAGAAAGCTCTCTGAAATGCGGAATCTTGAGGAAACAATGGCAAAACTTCAGTTGGTAAGTAGATATCATATAGAATTGTCAGAGTTTTCAGCAAGAAAATTTAATCCTTTATTTTACATATTTTTTAATTTGAGATATAATTTACATGCCATTATGTTCACTCTTTTTTTAAAAACCCAATTGAGTGGTTTTGCTATAACCTTAAAGTAGTTCATCCATCACTCCTACTTCCAGAACACTTTTTTTTTTTTTTTAAAGATTTATTTATTTGTGCATACAGAACTGGGGTACAGGCCAGAGGCTCAGGGGCGGTGAGAGGCTTCACCAGAGACAGAGCAGGGAGCAGAACAGACAGATCGATGAAGTACACTGCTGAGGGGAGCAGCGGGCGGGTCAGGAGAGGTCTGCCACACCATGTGGTCACCTCCGGGGCAGGCGAGAATCGAACTCATGCAGAAGCAGCTCTTAGATTCTCAGTGCTGTGCTTTAACCCGCTGTGCCACCAGGGAGGGCCCTCCAGAACACTTTTTATCACTCACAAAAGAAATCTCACACCCACTAGTAGTCACTCCTCTTCCTCTGCTCAGCCCTGACAACCACTGATCTCCTTTGTGGTTCTTTTAGATTTGCCTATTCTGGACATTCTGTATGGATGGAACCATACAATATGTGACCTTTTGGCTTCTTTCACTTAGCATGATGTTATTAACTGATTTAATTATAGCATCTGTCAGTGCATACTACTTATGTCTGCGTAATGTTCTACTTTATGGATATATTTAGTCTCATTTATATTTCTATAATTCTGTAACTCGTAGATGGCAAGTTAAATTTAAATTTGAAGAACCTGTTGGGAACTTCATATTCTTTGAATTACTTTTTCCTTGGCAGTTTATACATATTAAAATTAGGAATTGATAATTATTTGATAAAGTTGTTAACTTTCATTAAGAACCCTCAGTTCTCTTTTAATAACTTCAGTAGTACAAAACATTTCTGTAGTCATGTTGTTTGTTCTGCTAGTCTTCAAATGAGAAAAATAGTAATAATTTTTCAGCTTAAGCTTAGTCTAAGCTGGTATTATATAATCTAAAACCGAAGAAAGAATGTTGCTTGCAGGAGAAACTCCTGGGTAGCTACCCAAAAGATTATTAAAGGTCTTTTTTTTTGATAGCCTGTTAAATTGGTTGAGTTTCTGCTAAGATTGATACCAAAGACTAATATTAACTTTCAGGTATTCTCATTACCTGTACTCTTTATATTGTTCAGCTGCAATGTTCCAGTGGCATAAGTGGAACTTAAAAAAACCCTTGTGATATGCAGGCACATAGTAGGTGCCTAAATATTTGTTAAATTTTACATGCTCACAGTGGCCAGCATATAAAATTGTTTCCGTTTTTATTCAACTGCTCTAGTAGGTATTCAGTTCAACTTACTAGTTCACTATTGAATTAGCTAAACCTGCTAAATGTTGCTCATCCTTGAAAATTACAAAGTGTAATTTTCTCCCTTAGGGTCAGTAAATGTCAAGTAGATGTTGTAATGTTTTCACTACAAGATGAATTTCATGAAGGCAGGAATTTTTGCTGTTAATGCTATTTATATTTATATAAATGTTCTATTTATATGGAGTTGAATGTAATTCATAATGTGTATCTGTCTCAGATCTGTGACCATATTTTGGCAGTGTTGACTGACAGTAAAATGGTGCTGTAGTTACTTTCTTATCATTTCAATAGGCCTTATTTTTGTATTAAGATGAATGCTAATGATTTTTTATTTTTTTTTTAAAGATTTATTTATTTATTTGTACAGAACTGGGGTACAGGCCAGGGATGCGGAGGGTGAGAAGATTCACCAGAGACAGAGTGGGGTACAGCACAGGCAGATCGACGAAGTACACTGCTGAGGGGAGCAGCGGGCCGGTCAGGAGAGGTCTGCCACACCATGTGGTCACCTCCGGGGCAGGCGGGAATCGAACTCATGCGGAAGTGGCTTTAGCTTCTTAGTGCAGTGCTTTAACCCGCTGCACCACCAGGGAGGGCCCTGAATGCTAATGATATTAATAGTTAACATTAAGTACTTGCCACATGTTTGAAATTGTAATGTTTAACACTTATTGATTGATTCTTACCAGTGAATCCTCCATGCCCCAGGTACTGTACCCCACAATGCAGAGGACCCGGAGAGAACAGCTAGTATACTTAGTTATGGATGGCAATCTAAAAGTCTTGCTCTTGCCCTACTTTAGACAAAAAAATTGTAAATATCTTTGTTGTTCAAGTCTATATTCATTTTAAAAATAGAAAAATATGCTAAACAGGCCCTCCTTGTTGGCACAGTGGGTTAAAGCACAGCACTGTGAAGCTGTCCCCAGCCACTGCAGTACGAATTCCAACCCCAGCCAGGTAGCTGACCCACATGGCACAGCAGACCTCCTGTCTTGCCTGCTGCTCCCCTCAATGGTAAATTTCAGTCAGTCTACCTGTTCTGCTCTCTACTCTGTCTCTGGTGAGTCCTCTCACCCTCCACTCCTCTGGCTTGTTACCCCAGTTCCTGTATGCATTAGTAAATAAATCTTTAAAGAAAAAGAAAAATATGCTAAACATGGGGAATGGACCAAAACTGTGAGGAGAAGGAAGTACACTGGACTATGGTGATGGCACACGGGTGACTCGGTGATGGGAAGCCCACAGGGATTACAACTGAGATGGAAAAAGGCACAAAATGATATAAAAATAAACTATTATATTAATTGAAAATATACTAAACAAAGAAAGGAAAATATTAATTCTCCTCAAAGAAACACATTGACATTTAAATTTTAAGTACTTTTAAAGTTGTTTAAGTACTTTTAAGTTAATATTCATTTTTTTTTTTGAGATTTATTCTTGCAGCAGAACTGGGATATAGGTGAGAGGTGCAGGGGTGGTAAGAGGATTCACCAGAGACAGAGTGGGAGGTGAACAGGCAGATGGACAAAGTGTACTGCTGAGGGGAGCAGCAGGTCAGGAGAGGTCTGCCACACGGTGTGGGTCACCTCCGGTGCTGGGGATTGAGCTCTCACTGAGGCATCTGTAGCTTGCTTGCAGTCCTGCGCTTTAACCTGTTGCGCCACCAGGGAGGGTCCTAATATTTAATTTTTAATACAAACCATATATTTAATGAAAGATGTGTATGTGTGAATGACTCTTAAGTAAATGTGTTTACGAGAACACCTACTTTTGTGAGCGATATTTTATGAAGTTGTAAGAAATCTTAATTATGGTGTTAAAATTTGCAGGAATTAAATTTATGTCATAAAGAAAAAGAAAGACTGAGTGACGAACTTCTTATAAAATCAGACCTGGAAACTGTTGTTCATCAACTTGAAGAAGAAAAGCAAAGGCTTACCAAAAAAATTGAAAGTTTTTCAGTTACAGGTAAATTATAAATTATTGATCATTCAATGATGGTAATTTCCCTTTAAAGTGTTCTTTTACTTGGTAGAAGATCTCTCATTCACTCATTCTGTAAATATTTGTTGCACGTTGCTGTAGACCAGCAACCAGACAAGGTACTGAGATCTTCACCGACCTTATCGGATACTCGTATTATGACTGCTTTGTACAGGAACCCTCCTTGAATAGTTTCAAATAGAAATGTATTTTTCTTTGAGACAAACTTGTGATAGAATTAAGATTTTGACATAGTAGAAAATTGAAGTACAGAATCTTTTCAAGGAAATGCTGCTGTGTCACCTTAAACTATATAAACACACCACCACTGAAATGGACTTTCTGCCATATAACAGTCTTACATGAGTTAATTTAAGGAGCATCTAAGTATTTATTCATTCGTTTGACAGATAAGTTTTTGACCTGTTATGTGCCAGGCTCTTTTCTGGGTGCTGAGTGTATAATGGTAAACAAGATACACTGGACCCCCTACTCTTTATTTTTTTTTTTTAAAGATTTATTTATTTATGCATACAGAACTGGGATACAGGTCAGAGGCTCAGGGGCGGTGAGAGGCTTCACCAGAGACAGTGGGGAGCAGAACAGGAAGATCAACGAAGTACACTGCTGAGGGGAGCAGCGGGTGGGTCAGGAGAGGTCTGCTGTGCCATGTGGTCACCTCTGGGGCAGGGGGGGAATCGAACTCATGCAGAAGTGGCTTCAGCTTCTCAGTGCTGTGCTTTAACCCACTGCGCCACCAAGGAGGGCCTGGACCCTTACTCTTATGGAGCCTTTAACCTAATCTATTAATTTAATAATTAGGGAGACAAGCTCATAGCACATAGGTAAGGAAGTTACTTTTAGTTGTTAAGAGGTATCAAAATACCTGAAAATTGGAATGTGTGGTATTTCCTCTTTCTGGCCTTTATTTTCATTGTCAGCTGCCTGCTCTCTGGAATTAGAGTGACTGTGTCTACATGACAGTCACCTCACCAACAAGACTGCCCTTGTTAAAGTTATCACTGCCTCCATTCTGAATGCAGTAGACACTTTATTCTTTTGTTTGTTTGACTCTGTAGTATATGACAGAATTTCCCATTCCTTCTTACTCTTCCTTCTTCTTATCTTCTGGTCACTCTATCCTTCTTACCTTCTGCCAATTTATCCTCCAGATTGCATTACATATAATTCTTTTGTAGTGCTTACTTAATCACATTTAGTGTAATTGTTTGACTTTGGCTATGTTTTTCATAGTTGTATGTTTAGACAGTGCTGGACATCTAGTAAATGTTCAATATACATCTGTTGAGTGAGTGAAAGAAGAGATGGCAGTGAATCAAAAGGTATCTTACAAGTCATTTCATGCCTCAAGAGTTGTAATAACCATCAGTTAAATTGGGTTTAACTATAGGAAATTGCCCATGTACCTTGTTTTTGACTTATGAAAAGTGATTTCTGTGGTAAAAGTTAGTCATTTTTCTTATTTGCAGAAAGATTTATGTGCATGCTGTCTTAAATTCATACTTAATTTTAAAAGCATGCATAGTATGCTTGTTCATAGATAAATTTTCCGTTAGTCCATATTCAGGTCACCAGCAAGTACTTTGTAATGACCTGCTTCTGCATTCATTTGTAGTGAGTAGTACCTGTCCTTGCTTTTGCAAGATTTAATGGATTTTTTAAGAACGTAGAGTTTTGGTTCTCTCCTCCTTTCTTTTCAATATTTTATCCCTTTGATATCTAGCAGTTACAGTAATATATAAAACAGCTAGTGATTTTTAGTAGTTTGCATTTCAAAAGTTATTAATATAATTTGTCTAATTATATATTTTTCATGTGAAATTATTGTAAGATTTAATTAGTTTAAATGTTTATTTTCAGAAAGAGAACTTACTTTGGAAGTTGAGAGAATGAGGCTAGAACATGGAATAAAACGTGGAGACAGATCACCTTCTCGTTTAGATACATTTCTGAAAGGTATAGAAGAAGAACGAGACTATTATAAGAAAGAACTAGAAAGACTCCAACATATAATACAGCGAAGATCTTGTTCTGCAAATTATTCTGCACGTGAAAAAATAATATTTAAAGCACCAGAAAAGGTAATATCTTTAAACAATAATTGATAATACAAGATAATATTTTTATGAACAAACTCTTCTAACTTATTGCATTCAACATAACCTTCTTTATACTTGCTTTTAAAGTATTTATTTTTATTTTCGTTTTCCTCTATGTCCTTTACTATATAACATTGTGCCAATGAGAAAAGCATTTTGATGAGCAAAGTGTAACAGAATCAAAGGATAACTTTAAGGAAATTAAGGAAAAATTAAACAGCATCTTACACTATAGGATGAGTATGGGGTATATGCAGAAAGTGGACCAGGAATGAGTGCTACTGGACATTTTCTCTTACAGCCTTCACTTTTGGTGCCAGCTACATATTCTCTTTCAGAGACGAGTGACTGTCTGCATGGTTCTGCCAGTGTTCTCATCTCTTGCCCTCATTATAGATCAGAAGTTGTATTCCCGAATTAAGTAAAAAGAATGTATGTCTTTCATCTGGTAGCATCTTTCAGTCTTATCATCAGTGTCCTTGTGACATTCATGTGATGATATTTATAACAAATGATAACTTGGTTTTGTTTTTTTTTTAAGATGTATTTATTTATTCATGTAGAACTAGGGGACAGGCCAGAGATGCAGAGGGTGAGAGGATTCACCAGGGACAGAGTGGGGAGCAGAACAGGCAGATCGGCGAAGTACCCTGCTAAGGGGAGCAGCAGGCGGGTCAGGAGAGGTCTTCCAAGCTATAAATTCCTTGCCTCTCTTCATCACCAACCTCCTGCCCCTGAATGTCGGGAATAGCTCCAAGAGTCTTCTTTTTTTTAATTACTTTAGATATAAGTGACATGTGACTTTATATTAGTTTCAGATATGCAACAGTGTTTGTGTATTTTGTGAAATAGTCACAGCACTAAGTCTCCTTAACATAGCCACTGTACAGTTATAAACTTGTGTATGTAACGAAAACTTCTAAGATTTACTCTTTCTTAGTCAATCTTAAAAATATCTTTAAAAAAACTTTAAAATATACAATTCCCTGTTGTTGTAATTCCACTGTACAGTACATCCCCATGACTTACTTTATAATAAGAAACTTGTACTTTGCATCTCCCGTCACCCATTTTGCCTAGAGCCTACGACTGCTTTACCTCCACCCCTTGGAACCACCAATCTGTTCTCTGTATTCATGAACTCGGTTTTTTGTTTATTTGCATTTTTATGTTTGTTATAACATCACTTTGTTTTTAAATTATGTTTCAGGGTGATTACAATTCAGAAATTCATCTGATCACAAAGGAAAGAGATGAACTTCAGTATATGCTAGAAAGATTTGAAAAACATATGGAAGATATACAGTGTAATGTTAAATTATTGACAGCAGAAAGAGATAAACTAAGCCACTTATATAAAGAAGTAAGAAACTGATTATAATTTAACCAGCAGATTATATACAACCAGATAAACTATGAAGGGATCAGTATATATCCTTTAAATTATTATGCTATATGGATCTTGTGCTGTTTCTTTAGAATTAGAATTAGAAAAACTGTCTACTGGCACCCTGTTCCTAAAGCAGAGATTGCTATTATTTTTCTGTATTTCTTCTTCATGTTTTCTAGCTTATCTATGAGTCATGGGAGTTAGAAATAACCTGTTTCTTCTAACGCTACCTGAGACATGTCTCAGCTTGAGTCTGAGCCAGGTTTATCCCGGAGTTCAGACATGGGTTATATCCATCAAACAGTGGGTGGTGCTCATGATTTGCTATACAGGGTAGTAAGGACTTAGCCTCTGCTGAAAAAACTCTGGAGAAAAGAGAATTGATACAGCTTGGTCCAGTTAACAGAACTGCAGTTGTAAGAGGGCAAAGTGAGTCTGTGGAAACGTAGTTTCTACCACTAAATTTGTTTCTGTCAATCTCCTGTTAGTCTTCTGCTGCTTCAAGAGGGACAGATGGATGTGAAGTTAAAAAGTCAAGTTGAAAAGTTATTTTCACTTTTGGAGCTTTTTGCAGGATTATGTAGTGCAAATTGATACACTTGTGTGCTTGCCCACTGTTGGCTTAGAGCTCAGCTTTCTTGGGTCTGCTTAGTTAACTACTAGTTGGCCATCTGCTCTCTGGTTTCCAGAATTCGGTAGCAGGCGTTTCCTTCAATCTCCTTGTCTTGTCTTTTTTGTTGTTGCTATTATTTTGGTCCTTTTACTCTCATTTTGTGAAGATTTAGGAAGAGAGCAAAAGTAACATATTAGTCTACCTTTTTTCTTAGCTGGAGTATATCCAATGTTTTCTTTATTTCTTTTCATTCTTTAAGGCTCAGGAAGAATTATCTGTATTAAGACAAGAATCTTCCCAAACCACAGTCTCCCACAATATTATTAGTCTTATGGAAAAGGAAAAAGAACTTGCAGTATCTGACTTAAGGAGGATTATGGCAGAAAAAGAAGCTTTAAAAGAAAAATTAATAGTAAGTATAAAAGTTGGCTTAATTTTGAAAGATAACTTTTTGAGAAAAGGGGAGGTTTTATAAATACTTTCTTATGATATGACTTTACAGTGTAGAGAACTTGATAATGCACTGGACCCTGTGTGCTTGAGCCTGTATGGCCTGTGTGCTAAGAATAGCTTTTGCATTTTTAAGGCATTGAGGATATTTCAGAAGAAGAGTATTTTTTGACACATGATTGTCGACAAGTTGTTATTGGAATACCACGCTCATTTGTTTATGTATCCTATATAGCTGCTTTTGTGCTGTAGTGGCAGAATTGAGTTACAACAGAAACCGGATGACCCACAGAGCCTAAAATGTCTATTCTCTTGTTCTTATAGAAAAGAAAAAAATCTCTGATCTCCATGGAAGTTCCTTATGTGGAGGGACATTATCTTGTTTTGTAAAGCAGCCTTATTAAGATAGGCATACCATACAGCTCACCCATGTAAGGTGTGCAGTTCGGTGGTTTTAGTATATTCATAGTCTTGCTAATCACCAGCACAATCGATGTTAAAGCATTTTCATGGCCCTAAAAAAGAAACCTGATGCCCATTAGTAATTAATCTTCATTTTTCCCATGGTCACCTTAATTCTAAGCAACCACTACTTTACTGTCTCTGGATTTGCCTACTCTGGGCATTTCATATGGATAGTATCATTCAGTATGTCATTTCTTATATCTCACTTCTTTCACTTAGTATAAAGTTTTCAAGATTCATCCATGTTAGAGCATGTATCAACATTTCATTCCTTTTTACCATGGAATAATATTCCACTTATGGATACACACCAGGCGGTTGCCACTTTTTTGGCTGTCATAAATTGTCATGCTGGGAATAGTTGAGTACATCCTTTTGTGTGGGTGTTTTCATTTATCTTGGCTATATACCTCTATTTAAACATTTGAACAACTGCAAGGCTGCTTTCTAAAGTACCTGTACTGTTTGTATTCTCCCCGGCCTGGTAGGAGATTTCTAATTTCTCTAATCATCACATAACACTTGTTATCTGTCTTTTGTGATTATGCTAGTGAACGTGAGATAATGCTATTGTGATTTTGATTTGCCTCTTTCCAGTGGCTATTGATGTCTACCATCTTACCATGTATGTGTTTGGCCACTTGTATATCTTAGAGAAATGTCTGTTCAGACCCTATCCTGATTTTTGAAGTTGAGTAATTTATATCATGATTTTTGAGTTGTATGAATTATTTATTTATTCTCAATCCAAGCCCCTTATCTGATGTATCATTTACAAATACATAACCTTTATTTTGTTTGTTGTGTTTTATTTTCTTAATGTTTCTTTTAAACCATGAAACTTTAATTTTGATGAAGTATAGTTTTTCTTTTGTTGCTTATTCTTTTCATGTGATCTCTAGGAGCAGTCTTATATTGTTTTTTTATAGGCTCAAAAAAAATAAACAGCTTAAGGCACACAAAGCACTCAGTACATTATAGAAACTCAGTTATTAATTATTATTAGTTTTATTATGGAATCCCTAAATTACATCCAATAAATATTATTAGATAAATGCTTTGAAATTTGTACCTAAATTTGGGAATAAGAACATTTAAGCATTGTAAAGGTAGTCTTTATGTCATAAACTTTTAGTTGAAATTTTACTCCAATTACTTAGTTTTAAGAATGCTTTTAATTGGGATCTTTTGGAATACTGTCTTCCAGATAGTGTTTTCTTATAAAAATAGTATTAATGCTACCAAATGGAATATTTCCACATACAATATGGTAACTTTTTTACTACTACTGACTTACCCTTTTCCATGTCTGCTGAAATGACCAAGAAAAATAAAAATGGAACTAAAAAATGCAATAGTACTAAGAAAAAAAAAAACTTGGGAAAAGTGACATTTTCTCAGAATCTTTATGCATTGCAGGAGACAAAATTTATGAATTTATAGTATGTCTTTTACTTAAAAACTGAACTAATTAGCTCAATCCTTAAGCCTTATTTGGTATTTTCCTGTTATCCTACTACCCACCCAGTGAATCACTGAAAGCTAGTATATGTCTCTGAGTGAACTGCCAAATCCTATTGATGCCACTCCTTAAATAATATGTGACATCTGTTAAGCCTGTCCCATATGAGAGGCTCTATTCTGAGTGCATTTTACATGGACTATTTTAATAAATCTTCACAGGTAACTTATCAAATTGTATTTGGAGTATGTTGTGTTGTATAAGTAACTATTTCAAATACAAATTTAAAATTACAAAAGAGTATGCTTGCGAAGCTGTGTAACAGTGGTGTTTTTTTTTTTTTAAGGTAGGTAATACATATAGAGACATCTGAGTTACAATGAGTTTGAATAACTTAACCAACAAAATCCAGCTATGAAGTTACAGGATAGCTGGATCCTGAGCTCACATTCATTTTTTTTTTAAATCTATTTCTCTTCATTCTCCCTGCTGCCATCATGTTCTGGCCATTATTCTCTCTTACGTGCATTATTCTGTATATGTTCTCATAACCTCTAGGCTTGCCCCTATCAAAAATATATTTCACACTGAAATCAGAATCATCTCTCAGAGATTCTAAATCCTATCACATCACTTACTACTTAAAATTCATTTACTGTTTTCAAGGGTTTTGTGATTGGCCCCTGCCTGCTATGAGATTTGGTTTCTTTACTCCAGATTCCCTACTACTCTTAGTCAATACTCAAGACTTACTGGTTTTTTCTAGTCTGAATATTTCTAAGTAGACTACTGAAAATTTCCTTCATGAGTTCCAGTTCCTTCACCTACATGATTCCTGTTCATCCTTTAAAACCAGATTAAACATCATTTCCCTCAGACAAGAAATAAAACCTAGACTCCTGACTTATTTTTGGTATATTGTTATAAAGTTCCTTCTTTTTTATTCATGGATTTTAACTCTTAAGTTCATCTTTTCTATTAAACTGTACTATCTCTAAGGTCAAATGCAATGCATTTTACTGACTGCTAAATTCCTATTACCCATGTGGTGCTCAGCATATAGTACATACTCAATACTGGTTGAATGACTTAACAAATGAATAAATGCATACCGTGCAGTGACCCTTTTAACTAAATGCATATTCCAAATATGAGATGTCTTTATTTTTTTCCAAAGATTTATTTATTGGCTCTCCCTGGTCACACAGTGGGTTACAGCACAGCATTAAGAAGTTAAAGCCAATTCAGCATAAGTTATATCCCCACCTGGGAGGTGATCCACATGGAATGGCATACAGAACTTGGATACAGGCCAGAGGTGCTGAGGTGGTGAGAGACAGAGTGGGGAGCAGAACAGGCAGATCATCAAAGTACACTGCTGAGGGGAGCAGTGGGTGGGTCAGGAGAGGTCTGCCACACCATGTGGATCACCTCCCAGGGAGGGGATTAAACTCATGCTGAAGTGGCTTTAGCTTCTTAGTGCTGCGCCACCAGGGAGGTCCCTGAGATGTCTTTATTTTTAATGAATTATATGTATGGAAGTATACACTGAACTAGAAAATCCCAGCAATAATTGAAAAAGCTAGTATCAGATAAAACAGCACTTATGTCTATACTATCGATCAGCTCATACTTGAAAGACTGATCTTTTATAATGCCTTGTAGTATTTTGTTTTCTGATCTCATCTTTCTTTATGTATACTCTTTTCTTTTATATCTCACGAAGGGCCTATTCTTGAGTTTAATCTCCTGGTGCCTAGGGATTAACCTGCATAACTATTTATAAATGAACCTATACCAATCTGTATTCTTTTACAATCATATATGAGGTTGTAAAAGATGAAACCCCATTTTGCACTTTTTCTAATCAAAAGCATCATTTTTATAAAGTCTAATGATTTTCTTTTCTAAAAACATTTTAGAGAAAAACAAAGTATAGTACTGTAAACTTGTTTTGCTTAACTTTCCTAATTTTTTGTTATATCATACAAATAAATATCTGTAAAAATTATCTTTCAGAGTCTCCAAGAAATGAGTCATTTTGGAAACTCAGAATTAGAGGAAATTATTGAACATTTGACATGTGTTAATCACAAGGTAATTTAGCAAACATGTGTGGGACTTGTACTTCATTGTCATGGTGATTAAGAAAGGGTGGTATAGGTGGTATAATGCACACATATTAAGGGAGAATGATAAAATCCAGTGGAGCAAATACAAAAATATATAGAAATTTTATATGTAAAGGACACAGGTTAATGGGGAGAAAGGAAAGATTATTCACTAATTATTTCTGGAATAGTTAGCTATTCATATAAATGTTTTAAAAAAAAGTTGGATCCTACCTCAAATATACCATACCTAAAAATCATTTCAACATTACTAATAGTTCTTAAAAGAAAAAACAGGGGAAAACCTTGAGAAATAATTTATATTTCTGTGAGGCACATGTCTCAATATTATAGATGTGTATATATAATATTTGTATTATAATATGAACTCTGAACAACTGTATAGCATATGATAAGCTAATATTGTCCTCAATTCACAGATAAGACCACTGAGGTGGTAGGAAAACTGCCCAAGATCAAACAGCTGGCAGGTATTTGTTGCCAGAGAGTGTCCTAGACAAGACATAATAAGTTTATTCCTTGAAGGGAAACAGTTCAATGAGTTTGCATTAACAAGAGCATCATTGCTTGTCAAATAACCATAAATTCAAATGACAATTATTTGATGAAATTTTAATGTATTTATGATAACTGTGTTACTATTCAGAGGCAAGATGTGACTTTACATTAAATCAGGTTTTATTTTTTGCAATTAAGGAAAATTTGATAATTTTTTCTTATATGTCTGGCTTATTTTATGTTTGGTTTACAATGTTTTTTTGCTCTGATGTTTCTTCAGTTTAGTCCTTTCTACTTCCTGCTTTTATATATATATATATATACACACACACACACATATATATTTTTCTACTTCCTGCTTTTTAGGAATTCCTCAAAATTTTTGCTCTGCTGATGCTTTTCCTTCCTGCTTAATGTTATGGGTATTACATTCATTTTTCCCTTTTTGTGAAAGTATCTTTTCTTTCATTATCTTCAGGGAAGAGTTAAGTATGTGAATCCATCCTCACATCAACAGCCTAAAATGTACATCTGACCTTGACAGTATTGTTAAATAAGTCTAACTTATTTCCTTAGTTTTCTCCTAGAAATATTAAAGAGGCTTAAAAATTGAGCATATGTCTATTAATTTTCAAATTTTAAATTGTAGCTTGAAAAAGAAAAATGCGAATTGAGGTCTAAAATGTTAATAATGAGAGAAACAATAGAGTCATTAGAGAACAAAGCAAAATTCCAAGCCCACAAACTCAGCCATGTAGCTGGTGATGCCTCTCTTCAGAAAACAGAGATGAACTCACTCAGGTAAGTGTATTCAAGGTTTTGCTACTTCATTTCTGGGGACATTTTTGTGGTTATAAAGGTTCAGAACCATGATGTTTTAGACCAGGCTCTGAGCAATAATTCCCAAAGTTTGCCTTTTAGCAGAATCACCTGATTGAACTTTTAAAAAGTATGGATTGAGGGGCAGATCACTGCAGGTTCTCAGTCACTGAGTGAATCTGGGAGACTTTAATTACATGTGACTTTTAAGACTTTCATAGATTGATAGGATTGCAGGCAAGTGTTTGGACTAGCTCCTTCAAAACCCCCCTTGACAGAGTGTTCAGATCAATTGTATTCCATCATGAAGGGTTACTGAAAATTACAGAATTTTTCCTCCCTGTTGTTTTTCCTCTCTTTACATCTTTTAAAGAAATGTAAAATCAGAATATTCACACACTAGTTTAAAAAGGTGATATGTCTGAAGAGTGGTAAAAAAGGTCAGTATGTTAGCAATAAACATGTCAGCAGACTGGAATTAGGTTACAAAAAATTTGGCAGGATAACCCAGACTATCTGGATTTATAAACATACAGATTAAAATTCATCTGGAATTCAGACTCAGAAGAATAAAAAAATGATGAGAGAAAAACACACTGGTCTAAAATGCAAACACTCAGAAGCCCAAAAATCTTTAATAAAATAAACAGAAGTGAAAATCAGAGGAGTGATTGGGAAAAGAAAGATCTGAGATTATATTCATATGGGATCCCTGGTTATCAAGCAGAGTTAATGAAATAAAACAAGAGCTAAGTACATCCGGTTAATTAGGAAATACTCTATTAGTGAGTGACAGCATCTCTGATGTTTGCCCCTTTGCTACTCTGACTATACATCATGAAAATAGACTTTAGAAAGAACTAGGGTTGAAGCTGGTCACCTCTACCCCCTTTACTGGGGAGAAGAGGTGGGGTCGTAAGTGCTGTATGTACTCTATGAAGGAAAGCTATCTGAGTGGCCAGCCAACCTTCCTGACAATTGTCTGTTCAGCTCCCAGAAACAGTGGTGTTTTCTGTTACCAGAATTACTAGCCTTCCCTTCTCTCTTGTGTCCAGCTGACTGGACAATTAATCTATCTTGCTTTTACTTCAGACTGTATCTGCAGCTCCCTTTTCCTTTCTTCATAAGATCTTCTTCACTCTTAAAAGGCAGAGATTTCAGAGCCTTTTCTTGGATTCCCTAGCCTTCAACTCCTTTGGAAATTTTCTTTCTTATACTGATAACTTTTTGGCTTGTGAGCTCAATCTCTCATTTCCCTCACTTAGGAGTAACTCATTCTCTGTGTTAGAAGAAAGGATTGTTGAGAATTTTTCTCTATACATTGCATAACCTGGGGAAATTACATGATTCCATAACTTTGTTTTGATACAACAGAAACTTGTCTCTGAGAAAAGTGTGTCAGTCAGCCTCCATATCTATAAACATTGGTAGAACCACATAGTCAAACTGTCAGGTCCAAAGTTAAACCCAATAAAAACTATTGGCAACCAGTCTGTGGAAGCAAAGCCGTATTATCCAAACCTCATGTTGCCTTGGAGATGCTGTCTCTTTAATCTTATCAAGTTCTATTTCCCTTGACATGAAGTTGTTTAGGAAGCTGATACGCAGTTGAAACAGTCCTTCCTATTTACCCCGTGAACCCATCTCCTTTTCCTTCCTAGGCTAGACAATGCCCACCAAATGTCAACACCATCAGTCTTTTCTATATCAAGCCCAGTCTCTAATTGCCCAAATAGAAGATCTTTTGTCAGGTCTTTCAGTGTAGCACCCGAGGACATAATACAGAATCCCACCTTTTTTTTTAAAGATTTCTTTATTTATGCATATAGAGCTGGGCTACAGGCCAGAGGTGCAGAGGTGGTGAGAGGATTCACCAGAGACAGTGGGGAGCAGAACAGGTCTGCCAATGAAGTACACTGCTGAGGAGAGCAGGGGGCAGGTCAGGAGAGGTCTGCTGCACCATGTAGGTCACCTCTGAGGCGGGGTTCAAATTCATGCTGAAGTTGCTTTAGCTTCTTAGTGCTGTGCTTTGACCCGCTGCGCCATCAGCCAGGGCCCAGAATCCCACCTTTTAACCATTTATTAAGGGTCTCCCTGATGGTGCAGGGATTATAGTTTCAGCACTATCAAGCTATCACTTGCCATTGTGGCATTAGGCATGAGTTTGATCCCCAGCCAGGAAGCTGACTCACATGGCACAGCAGACTTCTTCTATCCCACCCTCTGCTCCCCTCAACAGTGTATTTCAGTAGGTTCACCAGTTCTACTCCCCACTCTTGTCTCTGGTGAATCTTCTCACACGCACACACAAACCCCACCTCCACCACTGCCAGTCACCTCTGGCCTACAGCTTAGTTCTAGTTCTTGTATGTATAAATAAATAAAGAACTCTTTTTAAAAAATAACCTTGCAAATAACTTGAATTTTAATATTTATTGAGATGTGTCATTTTACATCCCAACCTAACCTTTATAATGCTATAAAGCACCTTTTTCTCAACCAAGGAAAAATGGTGTATTAGTCTCTCACACTAGCCCCTAGAACTGGGGCTTTACGAAACTTCTTTAGTAAAGGGACATAGTTAATTTGCTAGTCTCTGTGGGTCATACAGCATCTGTCTCACCTACACAACGCTGTCTTTGCAGCACAAAAACCACTATATACAGTATGTAAATGAAGTGATCCAATATAACTTCATAGACACTGAAATTTGAACTTCTTATAATATTCATGTCACAAAAAATTAATCTGTTGATATTTCCGCCCATCATTTAAGCATGTATAACTGCTCTTGGTATTAGGCTTGACGGAAACAGGTAGCAGGCCAGGTCGCTTACCCCTGCACAAGGACAGTTTCTAGCCAACCTAGACATTAACTTTTCCCAATCAACCGCCTAATCCTCACAACTGCTAGCTGGGAGATGCTAAGCATTTAGATTTCTGCAGTTGAAGTTACCTCATACTGTTTTCAGTTTGCCTTAGGTTACATACGTAGCCAGAATAAAATGAATGCACTAGCAGGTTTTCCATCCAGGACATGCCCATAAACTCTAGTTAGAGTAATTATTATGGCAATAGGTATAGGAGTTATTTCATTGTATTGAGCACACCAAACCAAACACTTTCATAGCTCTTTTTCCTTCAGTAGTATTTATTTGTAAGGCAGTTGAAAGGGAAAGAAGGCTTGTCTCCTTAGGATGCCTAAAACTGTCTTATGGGCAGGCCTAGCACTTTTTTCTACTGAGACAGGAAGAGTAACCAGGGCCAAAGTGAGGACAACTGAGCTCACTCCCGGAGCTGGACTTTATAGGTCCATTCTGGTACAAATCATGATCCTTTACAGAAGGGAAAAGAAAGACCATTTCTGACTCTTCTCCCCTCTCAGATCACTTGCACAAAACCTTTCACAAACTATTAGCCATCCAAAATATAATTTTAGACATAATTATTAGATATAATTTGTTTCTCTGTTTTTTAATAGGCCATCACTTTCCAAAACTCTTCTTAGAGTTTCAGTTCTATTTTAGAACTTGAACCCTTCTTATGAATAAAGAATGCTTTAAGATGCTGTCTTTGTTTAAAATATCATGGAGGGAAGTCATTATTTTGTTCTCTAAAATAAGAGTATGCCTATATTTATATAATGTAATACAACTGAGAAAGTTGAAACACACAGATACGGTCTCATCCATCCACATGGTTGGTAAGTCGAGAGCTAGAACTTTGAGTCTAAGATTCTAATTTAAGTTTTATTCTTCACTCTGCATGAAAAGTCATCACTTCCATTTGCGATGTTTATTAGCACTTTCAAAATTTAGAATTGATTTCTTAACAACTTAGTTCACAAAATTTTCTTTCCAAACATCAGGATAAATAATATGATAATCACATAACTCTTGTTCCTTATTACTTTATTACCTCAATTCTTCCATTAAAAAGACCTTTTTTCATCTTGATACTTTTAGAAAAGTTAGTATCCAAGGCCAGCTATAGAATATGTTATCCCTTTTTCTGTCTACACTAGAATATGAAAAGGCAGTGCTATTTTTGGGACTCAGTAAGAACCTCATATATTTATGATCACTCACATGTTGTTTTGTCTTCCTTTACCAGTCCCACTTTCATTAGGAATTAATGTGCTTATGAACTTAGATCTAAAGAGATCTTTTCTATCTATGATTGTAAGCGCTTGATATACTCCATTAAGGGCACTGGGTCATTCCATTTTTGAAAGCACCCTGTATAATGTCCTGGCAGACATTTCTCCTCCCACATAGATATATTAATTTTCTGAATCTACATAGAAAAACAGTGTGATGTGATTGACATCTAGTTCGACTGGCCCAGATCTGCATCTCCTCTTTGTATCAACAGATTTGTACCTTGCACTAGTTATTTGTTTCTATAAAATTGGGATGGTAATTCTAATTATGGCACTATTGTAAAAATAAATGAGTTACTGTATATAAGATTTTGAGTATTAGTTTTCTTCTTTCTTTTACTCCTTCCTTACAGTTAAATTTCTCAGAGCAACGGCTGGAGCTTTTAGGAACAGCTTAATTTTATGAAGTAAAATTGATTGACCCTAGTGTAGCTCTGATTTGGGTTCTATATATATTTCTAAAGAAGTCAGTCTCAGTTTAACTTTCCTCCCTACCTCTGGGTCATCATTCCTTTGCTATTAAGACAAGGCCATGTCTTTTGTATTTCAGTATTGCCAGTAAAATATCTTCATTTCTGTGAAGATGTCCTGTCTTCCCAGTGACTTCAGAATCCTCTACATTAGGCAGTTTAAGCTAAACCATTCTTGGTGTCTTTGCCTCTGTCTTATCCTCAGATGAACCCTAAAGGGACCTGTGATAGTTCCATGTAAATAGCTTGCACTGAGAGCCTTGTCTTTCTAGCAGGTTAAGAATTCCTTGGTCAAGCCTAAAAGCATTTTGACAGTTCTAGGTACTAATGAGAATAGATTCTTGTTACGGCTGAAAAGTAATATGACTGATAAGTAACAGATTACTCTGAAGTCATCTTTATTTCCAGTGTAGCCCTTTCTTTTGAAACTAATCTTTAGTCATAAGTACCTCCTACAATGTAAGAAATGCCTACCTTCCCTGTTTACTACTGTTAGGAGAGTCGATGCCTGTGGGTCCCGGTGTGTGCACTGGTTGAGAATAATAGCCTCCACACCAGACAGGAGAGCAAGCAGTGTGGGCTTAATGACGCAGGGGGGAAGAACTCCTTACAGCAGAGGGGTCCACAGAGGGTGTCCATTTACTCCAGCCCCGTCTGACTAAGATGGTCGGACTCCTGTTGTCATGTGCCAGACTACTGAAAGCACAAGGTGGTCAGGAATTTTCCGGATGGTGGTTTGGTTTCCTAATTATCCTGTAACTGGATCTTACTCCATCCAGGTAGTGGCTCGCTCAGCAACATTTCAGTAGAATACTTCTGTTTTCTTGGGAGCTGTTTTGTTCCTTCTAATCCTATATTGTTTAAAATCACTGTCTCATGTCTCAGCCTTCCTGTTCCCCAAGTTCCCCCAGCCTCAGCTTCTTTCACTATAACCTCCAGTTGACAATCCACCAAATATGTCAGGATAGAAGGCAGAATTATAAGTTAGAATGGTCTGGTTAGAATGGTCTGGACTTATGGATATTTCTTTTAAGTGTCAGGCATGTAAAAGCAGGATTTTAGAAATAGGTTTTAAGGAAGAAAAAAAGTTGACATTAGGATACAGAGAAGAACTTTAAAGCTACCAAGAAGTCTCTAAAAGAGAGTGTACCATTAATTTGATGTTTGTATTGTTTATTTTTGGAAAGGTACAACCATATAAAGAAGTATGAGCCATAGTAAGGAGTAATATTTAATACTATTGATTCTTTTTTTGGAAGAGCTTTAAAATAATTAAACTATAAGGGAAAAGATTTAAGAGCTCTCATTTTAAAAAAATATGCTTCCCAGAGATAAAGAATGCCACTGTTTGTTTCTAGGATAGTAAATGAGCAACTGCAGCGGTCACTTGATGACTATCAACATCGACTTTCTGAGCAAAGAAGTGAAGTTGAATTAGCCCAAGCACAAATTAAAACACTGGAGGAGAAAATAGGTGAGTGCTTTTAAATTTTGGTTTTGCTAATCTGAAGTCACTTTGTCTTACAAACAAACCTTCATTTACAGGTAATCTACATCTTAAGATGACTTCACAGAATGAGGAGGCTCATGTAATGAAAAAGACCATTGGCGCTATTGATAAGGAGAAAGACTTTCTTCAGGAGACTGTAGATGAGAAGACCGAAAAGATTGCAAACTTGCAAGAAAACCTAGCTAATAAAGTATGTGACTGTTAAATAGCATTGTCTAGTATCTGAACAGAAAAGGTGATTTCATTCTCTGTTTCACAAATGACATTCTTATTGGCCATGTACAAGTTCCTAATACCAGACTTTATTAGAAGGTGTTTAAATTTCATTTTATTTCAGTAATTTGAAGCAAAAGTTCCTTTACTGCTTGAATGTGACTTTTATCAGATATGGTTATATAGTTACATTAAACTTAAGGAAACCATTCACGTGCCCATGGTGGGTAGAAACATGCATGTGTAGAACATCTGGGACACAGAAACATGCTTCCTTGGAACTTTTGTTTATAGTGTAATTATGTAACTGAACTATAAATTCGATAAATTATGGAAATTAAGTTAAAGATTTCTGTGAGGATGGATTAGCATCATGTTTTTAAATTTCCTATAGGACAAAACTATTGCTCAGATGAAGATAACAGTCTCTGAATTCGAATCTTCTCTGAAGTAAGTAATCAGTGAAATGTTTTCAGTGAATGCCAATTTGGTCTAATTAAGTAATAATCCAGCAGTAGGAAAATTTCCTTGTTTATTTTTTCCAGTGTTACCATTGGCAGCATACTTTTATCAGTCTCCTGGATGAAATTATCTTTTTTAACTTACCCTCATTCTCTCATCCCCACCTTTAAGTCATTCTAACTTATTATTCTTTAACATTTCTACGTGCCTTTCTTCTACTGTTAGAACTCTTACCAGGACTTAGTCATTAAACCTTAGATTACTTTAGTGATCAGTTTGGAATTTATTATACTATGTAAACCTATCTTGAATACTATTAACAAAATTTTACATTTTTTTATCTGTTGTCTCCAGCTCAAGACAGAAGTTAATTTTATTTAATTACTCTTTCATCGTATATGGTAGTGGAGAATACAATATTAAGTATCTCCCACTTGAATTTGTTTTGTTTTATTCCTAACACTTGCAAGTTTTCTGTTTTTACTTGACTTTAGGAATAATTTAATTGTTTATTTCATTTGCATATAGTGATTGATAGAGATCTCATATAGTAGCTTTATTTAATTAGTATCTTAATTGAGTTGTTAGAATTTCTTGTATTGTGAGCATGCTTAGTTCCAAATATAACAATTATCTTTTAAATGAACTAAATCCAAAACATTTCCTTTGTTATTCCCATATCACCCATTTAACAGCCAGCTAAAGGAAACATTGGCTCATCGAGACCGTGAGATAACCAGCCTCCGGCGCCAGCTGGATACAATTCACAAAGAACTTGATGAAGTAGGAAAATCTAAAGAAATAGCTTTTAAGGAAAACAGACGATTACAAGATGATCTGGCTACAATGGCAAGAGAAAACCAAGTATGAACACAATGCATAACTTTGATAGCTTACAATATACAGATTTACAGTATGTTTGTTGTTTGCTGAATTTTAAAGCTCTAAATATGTTTCCTAAAATTTGATTATACTAATAATGGCACGAGAAATAATCATCTGAGGAGAATGGTGTTTGTAAGAGTCTTTAAAAATATAGTTTAGAATGCTGCTCTATATTACAGGGCATCTAATGGATGCGGCTTCCTCACTGGAAGCATGGAATTCTCTCTGAGCTTTGTCACTTTACTGGTTGGGGCCACTGCATCACTCCCAGGACAAAGTTGCTGGGTTATAAAGACCCACAATAGATTTAATCATTCATACTTACACCTAGTGACTTAGAAACATACCTGTAACTTAATGAATATCATAGAATGGAAAGTACTGAAAGGTGTTGACTTTAATGCACTAGTTTGTTAAAGGATTAAAAATTAATTTCAGTATAAAGAATATTGCTAAAATATGAATTTAAAATATGCAGTCCCTGAGTATAGCTAGCCCTTCATAAAAGTGCCAAGTCAGAACTGTTATAAGTGGTTTATAATGAGGTTTGGTTAAAAAGCCCAGTTTAGCCAAAATGCTTGAAAATAACACCAATGAACAGTGTTACTTTTTTCCTATTCTTTTTTTATTCCCCAGATTCAAAAAAAGTGATAGGAATATAAGTAGAACTCCTTAGATACTGCATTCATTTTAGATTTATCTTTAATTTTTGGTTTTATAGGAAATCTCATTGGAATTGGAAGCAGCAGTGCAAGAAAAAGAAGACATGAAGAGTAGAGTTCATAATTACATAACTGAGGTGTCACGATGGGAGAGCTTAATGGCTGCTAAGGTGAAAAAGCATTATTTAGGTTGGATTTAAGATGGATATTTTTCAACTTTTTCATGTTTGTTGATTCTGTGTTGTCTATTAGAAATTTACTTAAGAGAATTGGCAAAGGTCTTGCCAGCTGTCTCCTAGTATTTCCCTGCAGATGTTACTCCATATACTATCTGCACATCGTTTATGCTTCCTAAATCAAGGCAAAAATGCCATTTTGTGTATATGTTTATCACATGGGTATTTCAGTGAGTGACAATTACTAATTTAGAAACAATTATATTTAAACCAGGAAAAAGAAAATCAAGATTTGTTAGATAAGTTTCAGATGCTTCATAATCGTGCAGAAGACTGGGAGGTGAAGGCCCATCAAGCTGAGGGAGAGAGCAGCTCAGTTCGACTGGAACTTCTTTCTATTGACACAGAGAGGAGGCACCTACGAGAAAGAGTGGAACTATTAGAAAAAGAAATTCAGGAGGTAATGCATTCATCTTGTGAAGACACTGCTTAGTTAAACAGGAAACACTCAAAGATACTTATGGCTTAAGCATTGATAAAATCAAATTTCATATCTGTTAAGCACTAATTCTCTATTGTCTCTTCCCCTAACCCCTGGCAACCACCATTCCACTTCCTCTCTTATGAATTTAACCTGCATATATAAATGGAATCATAAAAATATTTGTCTTTTTGTGACAGGTTTAAGTCCAATTTATTTTTTTCCTCCCGTTCCCTGTATTTTTTGGTGTCACCCAAGAAATTGTTGCTAAATCTAGTGTTATAAAGCTTTTCTCTTGACTTTTCTTCTAAGAATTTAACATGTTTATATTTTATTTGTGTATTTTTTTTCTGTAATTGTTGAAATTTATACACCTTTATAGCATAGTATTAGTTTTTTTTTTATAACAGTTTATTTTTACATTATTTTGTACATTTTGTTTTCCATCTCAATTGTAATCCCCACGGGCACAGAATTAGATTTTTAATGTTGATTCATTTCAGTAAATCCTATTAAAAATAATATTTTCAAGTGTGGAATACTTCCCAAATACTGGAAGTGGAGTTCATAGTGCTTTGTATTTATCACTCACAATTTAAATTGTGAGAAATTTAAAATGTAGATTATTATACCAGGAAAAATATCTATTCAGTATTTCACACTTTATATACTATATTTCTATATACTATATTTCCTAAATTTGTGTATTATTATTATTAGATTAAATTAAATTTGAATATAATTTCAGATATTTAGTTCTAAAGAAAACTCCACTTTTAAAATACTTTTAGAATAATTTAAGGACAACTGAGTGGTAAGTAGAGGTATTACATTTTCTTAAAAGTGCATTATCATGGGCTCTCCCTGGTGGTGCAGTAGGTTAAAGCACAGCACTAAGAAGCTAATGCCACCTCAGCATGAGTTCGATCCCAGCCCTGGAGGTGATCCACATGACTTGGCAGACCTCTCCTGACCCACCCGCTGCTCCCCTCAGCAGTGTACTTCACTAATCTGCCTGTTCTGCTCCCCACTCTGTCTCTGGTGAATCCTCTCACCGCCCCTGCACCTTTGGCCTGTACCCCAGTTCTATATGAATAAATAAATAAATCTTTAAAAAAAAGCATTATCATAGTAGAACTTATAAAAGAAAAGTTAATTTAACTTCAAATACCCCTCATAATTCATAAGAACCTAACAGTTTCCATCTTTGCATCTTTGAAATATATACATGAGGTACTTAATTACCATGATTAATAGTTATACAGAGTTCATTGTGTTAAGCATTAAATAGGCCATCTTTAAATAGAATTCAACAACTTCCTGAGAATATGTTAAAATATGCAAAAACTGATTCATATATATAGTGAGTTTGTGGCTATACATATTCAAGTCCTTAAAATTGTCAGAATACTTTTATTTTTCACCTATTTATTTTTCTTTTTTTCAGCACATAAATGCACATCATGCTTATGAATCTCAGATCTCATCAATGGCAAAAGCTATATCTACACTAGAAGAACACCTGAGACATCAAGAAGATGAGAAAGCATCAGCAATAAATGATTTGTCATCTCTTAGAGAACTGTGCATTAAGCTTGACTCAGGCAAAGATATTATGACTCAACAGTTGAATGCCAAAAACCTTGAGTTGGAGAGGGTAAAATTTAAGATACTGTTTAATTGAGTCCTATTCTCATTGTTTTGCTTTATCAGTTCCTACCCAATATATATGTTTCCTTTTGAAGCAGTTACTTTTGACCATAAGATTTCAACAACTAGATATGATCACTAGATTTCTCGGGCAAACGGAGTGATGAAATTAAGTGCTCTTTGGTTTGGAGTAAATGGAGAATATGAGGCCTATAGTTACAGAAGAGGAACATATCATAATTCTATCTCTGTTTAAAGATAAAATGTAAACGAAGTATCAAGCACTATCATTTCCTAAGTGAAATGTTTTTTCTGATTGAAATACAGGATATTTAAATCTTTCTTAATTGTAAAAGTCTAGATAACTGGAAGTTTCTGCCTGTAAACTGAAATATTTCTTTTAAATAACCTAGTATTTGTGTTCAAATATAGATGTTTTCATTTTCTTCATTTAAATAGTATTTTTATGTTCAAATAGCTAAGAAATTCTAGTACTGACTTGACTATGTGTCAGAGATACATATTTAATAGGCTAGAAAAGCCTCCTTGCTGATAAGTTTGCCACATTGTAGGAATTCAAGTTAATAGTCTGAGTGAGAACTATTTGAGGGTTGTGGTAGGTCATAAGACCAAATAAGCCCTTACTAAATTGGCAAAAATTATTTAGGAAATAAGATGTTTTTCTTAAGCTCAAAATCTTAAGCTGGCCCCAAAATGGAACAACTGATGGGTATGAGCACTGCCGATAATTTTGATGCGTGTCTGAATTCATACTGAAGTGATCTGTTTTGTTTTTCTTTTTAGGTTATAGCAGAATTAGAAAATGTAAAATCAGAATCAGACCTGTTAAAAAAACAACTGTTAAGTGAGAGACATACAATTAAAAACCTTGAGTCATTGTTGGCTACAAACAGAGACAAAGAATTTCAGTCTCATTTAACCTCCCATGAAAAGGATACAGAAATTCAGCTACTGAAAGAGAAGCTAACCCTTTCAGAAAGCAAATTGTAAGTGTCATAAGTCAACCTACATGAGGAAATAGCTGGTCAAAAAGAACTTTTGATTGGGAAAGAGAGGAGGATGGAAATGTGAAGCGTGGTACAAACCAAAATATTTTAACTATGTGGCTGCTGCTTTGAGAAATTTGGGAATTTAATTCTGGAGACACAGAGTGTTTGGAGATGTATTGAGTGTTGGTGGATTTGTATATCATCACAGAGAGGTGTGTATCCCTAGCAGTGAATGAGTGAGCTTTAGAAAAATGCCTCAATTTTAGGAAGACAGAAAAGAGTGCAGGAAGGGAGAGAACATGTCAGGATGGGGGTGAGTCTGTTCTGTCTCATAAAAGTCTTCATATGTGCTGTGAGGTTTGAGGCTTTTAAGTATAATCTTTATCTTTTAGTAGATTGATAATGGTATCTCTTTAGGATGGAGAAATGGGTACATATTTGTTGGTAGAGAGGAGGAAATTCACAGTGGAATAATTATATATCTATATATAATAAATATAAAAATATATTTGTAATATATATATTTTATATATATATAATAGTTTATTTTTACATCATTTTGTACATTTTTCCATCTCAGTTGCAATACCCTTGGGCTTCCCATCATCAAATCACCCATGCACCATCACCATAGTGGAATAATTACCTTTTTAAGAAGTTAGGAATATTTCTCTTTCTGAAGCAGGACTCAAGAAAGAGCCAGTGAAAATACATATTTTCTGATGTATTCGTGTCTGTTCAAATTTGTATCTCCAGCATCACTGCAGTGCCTGCCACATACTAGAGCAGTTCCATAAATGTTAAATAAATGAGATAAATGAAAAAGAAAACTTTGTGCCAGAAACTCCAAAAGATTTCAGAATTAGTATTGAAGTCTTGATCTTTATCCTCCTTAATGACCACCTTTACTTGTGTCTATTCATAACAAAAACAAAAATTTGTAACAGTTGACTCTACAACACAGAATGTATATTTATTTATTTTTAAATCTGTTTTTTAAGAAGTAGCCAGAGCCGGGAAAATACCATGCTTCGTGCTAAAGTAGCACAGTTCCAGACTGATATTGATACTCTCAAGAGGCAGATTTCAACTGAAAGATATGAACGGTAAGAAAAAATTTTAACACTGAAATGTATTTTTACTTTTTCCCAGCCCTATTCCAGAAAGGATTTACTGTGGCTTTACAAATAGCAAAATTTTTTAGCATTAGTACATAAAATAAGTTTCTTCGGCAGTTCTTTCTAAAAAGACAAGTATTGTAGAAATAATGTCATTACAGTAAATGAAGGAAATCTAGAAGCGTTTTTAAGAAATTGGGGTATTATTTCAAAGGATATAGTTAGGTAATCAACAGGCTGGTAAGGATTCTACAGGAAGCTTAACAGGAAAGTCCAAATACAAATCATCATAAAAGTGATGAAGATCGAGAGCAGTTAACAATATGTGTCAGATTATTATGTATGCATCTGATTAATCTTACCAACAGTGTACTTTTATGTATATTATAGGAAACCAAGAGCATACAGATAGTCAGTTGCCAAGCCAAAACTAAAATCTTGGCACACATTTCTAATTTTGAAACCTCTACAACAAAGTCCATACAATTTGATCATTTTCATGCTGACTTATAGTTTAGTTCGTTTGCTTTATTATGTTGAAAAAACCTCCACTTCTCCCAAACAGGAATGAGATCTGCCTTTAATAGTTAAAATTGAAAATTGTATGTTGTTTTCCTTTGGGTGCTCTTTCCTTGTATATTAATAGTGTTCGATGCCAACATTACTCAGATTTTGTTCTCTAGTAGTGGCCAAATTGCTTGTTAGGTCTACTTTTTAGCTGTCTTATGCTTAATTTGCATCAAAATATAAGATGCTTTTTGGTGATATGGTTTTTGGAGTATAGATGGGAATTACCTAGGAAATTGTTTTTTTGTGATTTCAGAGAGAAATAAAACCCAAGATTGTATCGGTCTCATGAAAGTTGTATTACTCTCTTATAACTTAGATTAGTTTCACTTTTTTTAAGAATTTATTTATGCATACAAGAACTGGAGTGTAGGTCAGAAGTATTGAGAGGTGAGAGGATTCACCAGAAACAGTGGGGAACAGGAGGAACTATTGAAATACCCTGCTGAGGGTAGCAGCAGGCAAGACAGGAGAGGTTTTATTGTGCCTTGTGGGTTGGCTCCGTGTTGGCTCCCTGCTGGGGGATCCAACTCACTGTGGTGACTGGTGATAGCTTGGTAGTGCTGAGACTTAACCCCAGCCCCACCAACGAGGCCCCTAGAAGACTAGTTTCTTAATGTTCTAAATTATACATATATAATGAATTTCCTTCAAATCCTAAGGCAAGCTCTCTGTAACCTAGTGCTATAAACCACTCAGCCCTTCCCTTTCCCTAGCCCTTGGTTTTCAAAGAAACCTTGAGCCACTCGAGCGTGTTATTCCTATCCTTCTAAGAAGCCATGAAAACTTCAAGGGGCAGGGAGTATATGTAAACGAGGTCCTTTAGGGAGCTAATAAAGAGCAAGTGTTTGTAAAACATTGAACTAGGTAGCAATCCGCGTGCTAAAGTACTCAAGGCAGAAAACGTCTAGATACCAGACCCTGAATAACCTACAGAGGAGCTGACAGCACCATCACCAAGCTTGGGGGACTAACACAGACACAGGGGAGGCAAGCCTAATAGAGAGTGGGTTATTTCCCATATGGCACTTGGGAGTTTAAGATAGGAAGAAGGAAGAAAGCTAGATTATTGTGCACAAATTGCAGGAAGGATGGAGCAGAGGAGGTAGATAAACAGCTTTGAAAATCTGTACTCAGAGAACTGATATGTAGTCCGAGGATTTTGATGTCTTTTTTATTACATGATCATTAGTTAAATCTGATATCAATTACTTAAAAATCATAATAGTATCAAGGATTTAAATTTAGTAGAAATACTAATTAATTGAATAGAAATTGCAAATTAATAACAATAAAAACCTACCTTTTGATTTTTTTTAACAGTAATTACATATAGCCTCTTTATTGATGCTGTTTTTTCTTTGATCTTTACTGACAGAGAACGAGCAATCCAAGAGATGCGTCGGCATGGTCTTCCCACACCACCATTTAGTTCTACTCTAAAGTCTCCTTTGCATTCTCCTGAGAGTATGAATTAATGCTTAGCAGAAAGGTATGTATGTCACACCACAGACAGGTAAAACTAATCTTTAATTATAAAAAATTTAAGAAGTAGTTTTCTGTGCAGGGAGAGAGTGAGCTGCCTAGAAAGGTGGTCAGGCAGGCTCTCTCTCTAAAGTAACAGATGTTGGTGCTGATGGTTACATGGGTATAATTAACTGTAAAATCTCACCGAATTAAGTAATGCAAACTATGCATTTTATTGTTCATAAATTGTTCCACATTTCAAAAAGAAGACATTCACAACAAAACCTTAAGTGGTAATATGAGATTCACAGGGTAAGTACTTGATGAAGTGTCAGATTCAAGGTTTAAATAATAGATGGTAAAGTGTGAACATGGACATAGAAACAGGAACACGTGGCATAGTATATTCAGTCTGACAGAAACGTCATCTGGTTGAGAAATAATGAGGGAGAAAGGTGTGGAAAGTAAAATGTAATACATGGGATATGAGGCTAAGTTAGTGATTACAGACTTTATTCTATAAGTCAGGGGAACCTTTGAAGGGCCTGCTGGGTAGAGGATGGATGCATGTGAAGGGTTAAGATGTAGAAGCTATTTTGGTGGATTAACTTCACCACTGTATTTATGGATACTGTGGGAAAGGTATAAGCCAGAAACAGACAAGTAAGGGGTATGAAATGAACAGTAGAATCAGTTCAAAGTCAGTATAATAATATTGAAAGCTAGGACAGATTTTTAAAATTAAGTTATAATATATACATAGAAAGTACCCTAAAATAAATATCAGTTCAGTGAGTTTTCACAAATTGAATGTACCGCTATAATCTGCACCCACATCAAGTAAAAAGACATCACTCCTCCTGGGCTCCCTTATGGTATGACCCCTTCTCTAAAAACATAGATTACTTTTTGCTTATTTTTGGTCATTTTATAAATGATTTTTTTTCCCTCAGTGGTACATTTATGAGATTCATCTATACTGTTCTTATTCTTCTGGATTGCTCAATCTTGTCCTGCATAGTATTCCATTATGTGACCTCACCATTCTGCTACTCATTTCATTTCCAATTGAGCTATTACAAATAAGTTGTGATGACCATTCTAGTACCTAATTTTTGTAAAGAGATGAGAACATTTCTTTTGGGTATATACACAGAAGTGAAATTGTCAAATCACTGGATATGCATTTCACTGCATGTCAGGTCATTGGGCATGCATATGGTCAAGCTTGAGCAGATATAGCGGCAGTTTTCTAGGACACATTAGCCAGGGTAAGCAGAATGGGCCAATTCTTAGAGGTAACAATGAATGAGAAGAGTCATCATGAATCAGAACCACGGTTTGAAAGATAGGTGGCTGGAAAACATGCTCATTGGCAGTAATATTTAAGTCAGTCTTTTTAGAAATTATGTGTCTCTGCTTTTAGTAAAAGTATGTAGAAGATAATTAGGTGTTAAGCATTCCCTCGATGACTCAGAATTCTCGTTATGAACATTAGTGCTGTGCTTTAACATGCTGATTTCCCCAGCATTTATTGGTGTTTGTATGGCCTCTGTTTAAGTAGCTCCTGATTGCTGTACTTTTGCTTGTTTGCTGTTTTTTTTTTGTTTGATTGATTAAAAAATTTATTTTCTACTTTCACTCTGAGGTTCTCTTCTCAGAGCTGTAATCACTGTATCTTCACACTTTCTAAACTACTGCATTAATTTGAATGTGATTAGATGAAGGTTCATCTTCTCATTATAAAGCCTTATAGCAATTGTGACACATTTTCTTATGCATTTAATTCAGATATTGGAAAACTAGGGTTATCGGCTAAATCTGTCATCCTGCTTATTTTTGTATATTGAACTTTACTGGAGTATAACTACACTTGTTTGTCTATATTTTATATAAGATTGCTTTTCTGCAGAGAACTGTGGTCTGCAAATCTAAAGTATTTACTAATTGGCTCATCATATTCTGTCACTTCTGGAAAAATCAAAATTTATTTGAAAAAACAAATAATTTCTTAGTTTTATAAAAATCGGCTTGACCTTGTAGACCCCCCCAAAAAGTTTTTGAGGACTCCTAGGGATCCCCAGGCTAAGTTAATACCACTAATATAGTTTCACAATCTTTAAAGCTGTGGTAAATTAGAAAACCTTTTTTAATTGCGATAAAATAATATAACATGAACTTTGCCATCTTTACTACTTTAAATGTATACCTTATATAGCATCAAATTGATAGCATATGTAACTATCACCAAACAGCACTTCCACAAGTTTGCATCACCCATATAGAAGGTCTGTGCACAAAACACAGTAACTTTTCATAGCCCCAATGTCCCCATCTTTACCCCTGGAAACTTCTCACTTACTTTTCTGTCTATGAATTTGCCTTTTCTAGATTTTCTTAGTGAAATCATATGTATTTGTCTTCTTGTTTCTGGCTTATTTCACTTAGAGAAATGTTTTCAAGGTTCATGTTGTAGAACGTACTAGAACTTCATCCCTTTTTTATGCCTGATAATATTCTTGTATGAGATACCGTATTTTCTGTATTCATATGTACATTGATGGACATTTGGGTTGCAGCTGTGAAAATACTGCTGTGAACATGGATGTCTAAATAAAATTCACTTCAAGTCCTACCCAGAACAGATATTAGATAGCATTTGATATAGTTCCTTCTCATATTTAACTTATAATAAGCACAAACATAGTGGTTATACATGCATATGCAATTCTAATAGAGATCATACCCAAAGTAACTTTTATCCTGTTTTTCATTTTCTCTTTAATATTGTTGTAAATATTTATTTTTGTTATTGAAAGTATTTTCAAAAATGGTGATCTAATTTAAAAATAGTGACCTAATGATTTGTCATATTAAATCACTATTTACTGAGAGTAGAAGAGCAGGGGGAGAAGTGGAAGAGCAAAGTGGGGAGGCACAGGGGAGGGTGGTGGAGGGTAGTAGGTGTCTTCGTTTGGTTGTGGTGTGGTGCCAGCACCTGAGGGGTGCTCTTGTGGTTCTAAATCACATACAGTGTTGTAAACCAAAGTTACCTCAATTTAAAAAACAAAGATAACAGGCAACTATTAATTGCCTATGATTAATCATCTCTTAGGGGACTGATAGCTTGTTACGCTTTTCCCCTTATATTTTACAATAGTGTTAGACAACATATCTGATAATTTCTCCTATAGCATGTATGTTATCCTAGATACAGAAAAATATATTTTTCATTGTGGGATTTTTTTTCCTATTTAAATTGGTATGTTTTAGTTTATGGACTGATTAGATAACATAAAATTAAAATATTTGACTATCCATAATATGCTGCTTTTCAGACTCAGACAACATCATTTATAGTACGTGTAATATTTTATTAAGCTTTGACATTGTAATATCCATTCTTTTATGTGATTTTTCTCAGTTAGCACACTGTATATTCCGTCCTTTTCACTTGAGTTCAGTTAGTCCTCATGTACTTTGATGTGCTTTGGTCATTTGAGGGGGAATATGTCTTTGAAGTATAGAACAGTACTTCTTACCTATTAAGTATAAATTGACTGTGGGCAAAGATTTTATTAGAGACTATAATTTCAGTTTATAAAACACTACTGCATTTCAAGATTTTTTTAATGGATACTGATTTATTTATAATTTTTCTCTTACTCCATCTTTCCCTTTTTCAGAATGATGGTTTTTCAGTCGTTGGCTATGTGGATTTTTAAAAGGACAAAACAGTAATGAAATAATTCAAGTACTTGTTCCTGAAAATCATGAACATTGACACAAATTCTACCTCTGTCAACTTTTATTTAAATCAGTGAATATTTATGTAAAAAAATTTTGGTTTAAAAGAGCTATATATATGTATATATGTGACAAACAAAATACGCATTAATATTGCTAACTGATATTGTAACTGTGTTTTTATTATTCCTGACTTACTCCTCAAAGTTTGTTTGCACTGATCATTAACACAATGTATTGTTCACATTATGCTTTAATTTTCTTTTTCGTAATGAGCCATCATATGTGTGTGTAAATATTCTTGTTTTTTTACATATTTTTAGTTTTCATGCCTATTATTATAACCCATATCCTTAATACATTAACAAGGATTATCAGTTTGGATACAATGATGTCATGCTTAAATTTTTTTTTGTTAGTCTAAAATTAATTATTCACCAATTGCTATCACTGAGGGGAATGTATTTAGGTCATTCTTACATTAGAAGAGATCTTGATAAAATAATGGCTACCACATGTAATTTATTATTGCCAATTAAGAGAACTGTAATGGGAAAGATAGATCTATATATTACATATAATATTTTTGGCTGTCACATAGACTATTTTCATAATAAAAACTATTGAATTTATAATTTTGTAAAAAAAAAGAAAAAGAACAGAAATTGGGGGATTGTTTTCAATAAATAAAATTCCTGAGCGTATTAATCTAAAATGTTAATACATGAATAATACAGATTAAATATAGTAAAATATTTTGTTAAAATTCAAATGCACATTCAGTATCAGTTTTTTGTTTCTAAAGCTGTGTGTTGTAATTTATCAGTCTCATGGAACAGTAAGTAAGCACTAAACTATGACATATGAAATAGAAAACAAGTTCTTATAATTAATATTTAAAGTTGTCATTTTTAAGAATTTAGGCACATGTATTAATGAAAGAACAAAAGTACAAAACAGAATGTCAGCTACAAAGAGTAATCTTGCTTGAACTGAACACATGGAAAAGAAATCCTATTCTTAATAGATTTCATTATGACTGAATAAGAATTTAAAAACTGGCCTAAGAAATTGGAATACCAATTATTCAGAATACATTTTGTTTCCCCCTGGTTTAATATGGTGGTATATTTGTGTGTGTGTAGTGTATACATACATATTGGGGTCAGTGCTCTTTTTCTGAAATTAATATGCCTTACAGTGCAGGTTATGCCTTTTGAATAATTCAGGGTGTACTTGGGTACAATGTGACTTAACTGTTCACCATCTTTGTAATTTAATGTGTTCCACTTCCTATGTGTGAATTCATGTATTATAGTGAAGTACAAGAGAATAGGACTATTTGCAATGTCATATGGAAAAATCTTTCAATAAATATTTGTAAATAAATTTAAAAATATTTGTTCCCACCTTTCCCCCCAAAATAACTACAAGACATTTTGATACTGTTTTCAGTGTTTCCTATGATTCAAAAAATTATAACTCACCATAGTTGTTATTTTCATAGCCATGATACAATTTTTTTAATTAGTTTTATCAAATTTCTGAATGTCCTGATTTTGATAGAATTTTTAAAAATAATTTTAAATCGTGAGGCTTGATACAGATTTTCCAATAAACTTTCCAGTTAATTTATCTTCTCTTTCTTACAAATAGTTTTAAAAAGCAATTTTAATAGTACTCTTAATACTACAATTAAGTGGAATTGAATTAAGATTTGTATTGGAGGGATAGAAATCTCTGAACTTAGATACTAAGCACCTTTTTAAAAACTGACATCCATGTATTTCCATTTAACTCAAAAATACAAGAAAGTCAGAGTTTATGATCTGTCTACAAAATGCAACTTTTTCTCACTTACAGATGTTCTTTGTTGAGAACATTAATTATCATTAACTGTGTCATCTGTTATCCACACATCTTATTGCAGTTTACCACACATCTGAACTCAACCTCTCTCCCCAACTCTTAGAAGATTTTAGTACCTGATTTATTTGACCTTCACCAACCTTTGTGTTTTAGTGTCTTCTTGGACCATTGGTATTGACCAGACCTGCGCACTGGTATTATCTGGACAATTTAATTGAAAAATTTTGATATATGAATGTTACACCAATCCAAATGAGAACCTCTAAGTGTGAGGTTTGGGTATTATTATTATTTTTTTTTAGATACTGTAGATTATAATAATGTGTTACCAGTGTTTTAAAATTCTTATTGAGAAACTGACCCACCAAATGGATTTCATGACCTGGAACTCAACATATAGTTTGAAAACAAGAAAGATCTTGTCGTGACATCCAAAAATCTGAACTTCTCACTACCCTTCTTTCTAGAACTCTAATTATTAAATCTGTCACAGCAATCTTTGACTCTTCCAGGATCTCCAGGCCATGTGTTCTCTCACCTATCGTTTTGTAATTTCATCACTCTCACTTCCCCTTAATCTAACATGGACCTTTCCTTGCATATACCCTTTATTCTCTGTCCCTCTGAACTTAAAGTTCAAGCTACCCCAGGCACTCGGCATTCATATCTAAGCAGCTATACAACCACATTCATTTCACTTTACGATTGTAGCCCTGAAAATCTAGGGCTTGCAGCATTGTGTGACAATTCCTGTCCTTGACCTCTTCTCAAGTATTTCACACCTTCTCTTGACTTAGACCTTCTAATCCTCCCTCCTCACTGTTTCTTTTTACACTGAGAAAATAGTGACAGTAAGAACTCTCACCATCCAAATCTATTAACATCAGATCTATTTCTGTCATTCCCTTCCCTCCTTTATAACATGACCATCTCTGCTTCTGATCATTCCATCAAGTTGGGACCAGCATCCAACCCCTCATCTTTTCAAAATATTCCTGTAACTCACCCCACATGTCTGAATCATTTTTGCTATTGACTTGGTTTTAGTTTTATACATCCCATTTTTGGCACCCTGTATTGCAAATTTTCTTTGAAAGTCATCTATATTATTCACTCCATCCCTCACTTCCCAGCCATCTGTCTTCACACTATGGCAGTTATGCTTTCTTCTCATTACTCCCATGAGGTCATTCTTGTCAAAGCACCAGCAACTCTCATGTCAAATCTAAGAAGCCATTTACTCACTCTCAGCAGCATTTGACATGCAAATTTTCCATTCTTTTAAAGACATTTTCATCATTTTGCTTCAATAGCTAGCTGCCTTTTTATTTATTGCTTTTCAGTCTCTTGATATATTCTTAAACTTGAACTAATTTTTTTTTTTGCACACAATGGGTTTTTTAAATAAAAAATTATCACCTGAGGGCTCTCCCTGGTGGCGCAACAGGTTTTAAAGTGCAGCACTATGAAGTCATCGCAGCCACTGCAGCACAGGTTTGATCCCCGGCCAGGGAGTTGGACCCACATGGCATGGCAGACCTCTCCTAACCTGCCTGCTGCTCCCCTCAGCAGTGTACTTCCTCTATCTGCCTGTGCTGCTCCCCACTTTGTCTCTAGTGAATCCTCTCATCCCCGCACCTCTGGCCTGTACGCCAGTTCTGTATGCATCAATCAATCAAATAAATCTCTACAAAAATTATCTCCTTAACCCATTTTCAGTGTACAGTGGTATTAGGCACATTTACATTGTTAGGAACATCTCCCTAACTTTTAAACATTGGAGTACCTTAGAAACTCAGCCTAGCTATATTTACTCTCACTGATTAAAAACTTCAGCTCCAGCAAGACTCACCTCAAATAAGACTCCCAGGATCCCAGACATAGCCAACTGTGAGTAACTATCAGACAGTGCAGTGGGTGTCATGATGTAGTCTAAAGCCAATCTGTCATCCATTAGGTCGCGGGCAATTTAGTATGACCGGCTGATCTCTGGTGTCACTGCCAACGGGGCCATAGATGGGGCATAAGCAATCCTTAACACTCCCCCTTACATACAGACAGCTGAAAGGGCCACGGGTCACTCCAGTTTGGGGTCGTTTGTTAAACTGGATTTAGATCATTGGTGTAAGAAACATTGGCTGTGTCACTGAGTGGTTGCAGCCTGATAGCCATGTGTGGCATAACTCAAGGCTGCTCAGCCATCAGGAGAAGCATGAATTTGCACCAATCAGATTTGTACAAGTTGTGTCAGTCTGTGTGTTCATACCTGTACAAGGCAGAAGTCATGTTCTAGAGCTGCCATTAACAGCATTAGCAAAGCAAAATGGTTCTGCCCTCATGAGTTTTTTGTTTCCATACATAGCATGTGGACAGGACTGCAGCAGGCCAGATTGCCAGCCACTGCAGTTTCTTGACTAAGGCAGACCTTAAGTTCTTTTGCCAGGCTGCTATATAGGCTCTTTGTAGGGGACAAAGAGAGTATTCATGGGTATCAGTTCGGGTCCCACTCAAAGAATGCTGACTTACGGGTTAGCTAATAGAAAAGTCTAAATAGAATGTCCAAGTGAGGCACATACTGGCTCCAGCTCCTACAAAGTCCAGCAAGGAGCTGAGCCTCCGTTTGGGTGGATGTCAGCTCGAGATGCAGCACTTTTTCCTGCTGTGCAGGAGGAATTGAGCGCTGTGAATCTGCCTACTTTGTCCCAAGAAATTTCAGAAGGCTAGCCGAGCTCTGAATTTTGTTGGGGGTTATCAGACACCCCTGACTGTCGGGAGACTTGAGACCGAGGCTTCAGGTTTGTCAAGAAACAGGACATTATGTACAGAGTGAAATCTTTGAAATTGGAGGGTGGAGGCACACGTGGTCAGCCCACCGGCTGGTGCCTTTGGATGGAGGGAAGACCTTACCCCTTTCTGTGTTGGACAGCAAGCAAATCTGCTACCTGCTTTGGGGTGACCCTCTTCTGGTTTCTCAAAGCTATCCAACATCCTTAAAAAGCCAGAACAATTTTGGTAAGTGACATTTCTCCATCTACTCAGTCTTTACCTTCTCAATTCATATCCTTCATACAAAGCACATATGTGTTAACGGTAGTGCATTTTAAAAGCATGAACACATAAACAGCCTACATAAAAAAAAAAAAAAAAAAAAAAAAAAAAAAAAAAAAAAAGCCAGAACAGAAATGTCAGTGTCTCAGCTAAAAAATCTGTGGAGAATTATCTCCCAATATTTGAGTTATTTTTGTGTGTGATACAATTGACCATTTCAACAAGTTTTTTAAGTGTACAATTTAGATGGTGTTAAATACACTCACATGGCTGTGTATTTATCCCGTTGTCCACTCCAGAACTGGCATGTCATCTGTAATGCTCCCTGATGGTTTCGTGG